ATATGCACTGCTATATATATATTTACTCATATATGCACTACTATATAAAATATCAATTCATCTAAATTATTGGAGACGTTTCTGTCGACGTCCTTCTTGTTGACCTGTTTTCAGTCACGATGGCTGTTTTTGCAGGTAAACAGTCACACATGGCAGTTCCTCCACCTCTGCTCATAAATTTCAAATTTAAAGACACGATAACCATCGACACGAGAAAAACATGCAAATTTTGTTTCTCTGTGAAATAGTTACGGTTGCTCTTTAAATTCCACTGAGTGCCTGTTAAAGTAAATTGATTTGAGCTTATTGCTTTACTGCAACACTTCCATGTTATTGTAATTTTCCCCCCATCTTATACACAATGACTGATTATAGTTGTAAGTTTTTTAATGATTTCAGTATTTTGTGTTTTCCGTTTCAAACGCTCCTGTTTGGAGGTTTAAATTGTCTCCAGCACACCTCAACTCACCTGTGGCATCTCTCTTCCTCTTGTTGGAGCTCTTCTTGTCGGAGTCGGCTGAAGCCACGCTCTGGGGGGAGTATTCTCCATCCAGACATCCGGGGACGCTGACGGCCACCCTGTCAGCCCCTACACCCTCCAGCTCAGGACCCCCGCTCCCTCCAGAACCTACTACTGCAGGGGCAATGGGCGGGCAGGCCTCGGGCGCTCTCACCCGAGTCTCGCAGGGGTTGAACTGCCATTCGGCTCTCTGGTAGCCCCCCTGGCTGTCTTGGTACAGTCTGTCGTCGCGAGGGTAGGCGGCATGCGGCGCACTTGGCACCAGGCAGGACCCGGAGAAATCCGTGTAGGCCAGGAACTCTGGCTTCTGGTGCAGGGAGAACGGGGCCTGCTGGTACTGCAGATTGGCTCCTGGGACCCCAGAGTGAGGGTTCCTCATGCAGCCCCAGATGGGGCTGCTGGGATGGGCGCTCCGCATGCAGCTGCTGGCTGGCTGATCCATGGGGATGCAGAAACACGTCGCACAGTCTGGACCAAAGTCTTATCACTAGAAGGTTCCTTCGTAAATCGTTTGAGAAGTTTCCTCTTCAGCTGATTAAATCTGAACCGACAGACTCATTGCATCAGGAATCCTCACTCCTGTCAGGATGGTAGTTCTTCCACAGCACAGAATGTGTGAGGATGGATGCCTTCCTATGGCAGAGTGTGAGTGACGTCCTGTGGTGTAGCTGATGAAAACACACTCTCACACGTTCCCTCTCTCACACACACCTCTCCCTCATGAACCGAACCGGCTTGTGGCTCGGTGTGAGAGTTGCGTCTGCAACTGCGTGACTCCCTTTCTCAGCTCTGGCTGTTTTCACTTCTCTTGCGAGGCGTTCTTGACAAGCGAGCCCTCCTCCTTTTTAAAACATATAGGTGGGAAAAAGTGGCAAGTTTATGGAGTGAAACGTGAGCCTGCGGAGGAGGAGCTGCTCCGTCCACATGCTGGTACTACCCTCGGACCAACCCTTCCTCATCAACTATTAATCACGGGGGAAATTTTATATGCACATCTAATGGGCTTTCCAGACGTGGAGCTTTTTAAAGCCACATTGTCTGAAATGTACAAAGCGAGCACCCACCCACACTGGCGAGAGACTTTTTCAGCTCCTTGTGCTTTCTGACACCCAATTTAGTTCTTTCTTTGACACCTTTCAAAGGAAACTTAACCCTTTTCCTGCAACCCTAATCCCTGTTTTTCTTCATACATTTTAAAAATCTCTGTCTCTTTCTATGGCGGCATCTATGACACGTTCACACTCTTACACACCTGGCCGAACTTTCTATAACTTCAAGGTAAAAGGACTGGATTTGATGCCGGTTATGCAACTGCTCTCACCTCAAGGTTTTCTGACAAAACACAATATAACATTTCAGAGACATTTTCATAAGTACCGGATAAAGTTTTCTCTGAGGCCTACTTGACACTGGACGATAACCCCTTTATGTGTAAAGTCAGCCAGAATGTGAATTGTCTTGGCGAGGTAAACAAAAGTAAGAGAGATATGAAAGCAACATGGAGAGCAATGAATAGTGTTTTGAAAAATCATAAAGTACGATCAGGTATTTCACAGTATTTTGTAAAAGATAAGAAAATCTACGATCAAAATGAAATAGTAAATGAATCCAATAAATATTATGTGAATGTTGGCCCACGTCTTGCAGCTAAAATATCAAATGTAAATAAAGATGTGAGTCATACAGTCATGGGTTGTGCCAACAGCATTTTTCTCGGTGACACTGATAAAGAAGAAATACTGAGTATTGTGAAAAATCTTGCAGATAAAAGTTCAAAAGACTGGATGGACATGATGACTGTAAAGGATATAATGAGTTATGTTATTGAACCATTTACATATATATATAAATATGTAATTGATCAATTTTCAGAGGAAAATTTCCAGAAAATGTGAACATAGCAAAGATAGTTCTTCTTTATAAGAATGGTGAGAAATGTGTGTTCACTAATCACAGACCAATGTCCTTGTTGCCACAATTTTCAAAAATAGTAGAGACATTTTTTGTAACCAGATTAGATCGATTCATAGATAAACAGAATATTTTAAGTAATAGTCAGTATGGGTTTAGAGCAAATAATTCAACATCAATGGCTCTCATGGAACTAATAGAGGAGATAACAACTGCTATTGATCAAAAACAGTTTTGTGTTGGCGTTTTTGTTGCTTTAAAAAAGGCCTTTGACACTTTTGACCACACCATTCTCCTTGAAAAACTGGATAAATATGGCATTAGAGGATTAGCACCACAGTGGGTATCTAGTTATTTGAATAATAGGAGACAGTTTGTACAGGTAAACGATGTAAGATCAGAATTTTGTGTTAATGGATGTGGAGTTCCTCAGGGCTCCGTGTTGGGCCCAAAGTTGTTTATTTTGTACGTGAATGATCTGGTTGATGTGTCAGGGCTTTTGAGGTGTGTTTTATTTGCAGATACCACATTTTTTTGTTCGGGTGACGATAGTGAACGGATTAAATTCAATTCAAAGTTTATTTACTGTATATAGCACATTTAAAAACAAACCATAGATGACCAAAGTGCTTCACAAGAATACAACATTGTATGTTAGAGATGATACAAATATACTGCGCAGTTAACTGTGATGAAGCCTAATAGGGCCACGATGGATTTAAGCATCAATCCACAACCATTATTGCATCACAAATCAATTTTATTTCCCATATACCAGTGGAGAAAAGATTCTCCAGCCAAGTGTCTGTTTACACAAACAGATTTCTTTAATTTATTCACTGCAGCTGGTACCAAATAATCCAGGGTACCAGTATGTTGCCCGATAGCTGAAGACTCCTGGATTAGAGCATGCTCTAAACTTCTGTATTGATGTCATTGCATTTTACCACTGTGGTGCCAATAGTGGAAGAGCATCCATGATGTCCCTCACTCTCCAGCATGACAGCCTCATGAATCCTTCCCACGTTCTTGCAATATTCTAAACAATGTTTCTAAACTCTAAAGCTCTAAAGGAGCACAGCATGTCATGATTTATTTCAGCTCCCTGCCTCCTCTGCTCTTTGTCACATGCAAGCGCTCTTGGCCACGCCCACTTCTCCGCTCTGCACAGTGAACAGCTGATCAGCTGCAGCAGGAAGTTTATCCTGCAGCAGTATGGGCTGCACAAATGTGCAGCAGGTGCTAAATAATTAAAAATAATTTATTTTAAATAAAAACTCCATGCCGACCGTGCGGCTCATCCATCAGCTAATTGTGCGTCATGTCCAATCTCATTTTGAAAAACCGCAATAGAGCAAGTCTGCGATAAACGAACCGTGAAGTAGCAATGGACTACTGTATACCAGTAATGTTCACAAATACGTACAGTACGGTAAACGCTTTTCGTTCCTGAACAATGCCTTTAACACGGCTGGTTTAAAAATGTTAAAAACAGCCACGAGGTTCAAAGCCTGTGAAAAAAGTAACAGAACTGGAAAATACAGTGATCTCCCAACAGTTGCAGCCCACCTCAAGGAAATGCTGTGAAAGAGATGTTTCATTTGTCTTTTTTTTTTAAGCCTTTGTTCTTTGAGAAAATGAGCCAAAATGTGCCACTGCACTTAAAGACGTTTAAGCTTTTCTGATAACTGTTTTATATGCTACTTCTCCGTGAAGTAATGCCTCTAAAACCATTAAAGTCATTTTACTAAACCAGTTACTGAACTTTTATTCATAACTTTTACTCAGTAAACCCACTGAACCACGCTGTACTGACATGCAATTTCTCTTCATGCTGCTCATTTTTTGCGCGCCCTCCTTATGTGTTTTTACTTTGCAGCTGACCTCTTGAAGAGGAGAGGTGGCGGATCACACTTCCACTGACAGGCGAGCATAAAAAACTACGAGACGAGAGAAAAATGTAGCCGAGATGAAATGGCACGCAGGAAGAAAAGTTAGTTGTGAAACGTTTGACGCTGCCAAGGAGAAGAGAGAAAATCACTTTTTTATTGCTTTGGAAAACCTATATAAAATTTGATCTTCTTTTAGCCTTTGCCACAAATAAACCAGGGAAATGGGCAACAGCTATAAAATATAAATTAAGATTTCTGAATGCACAGAACAACCGCCCCCAATAAAAAAACAACACAATACTGGAAACATTATTAGAAATAGACTGAAGTGCAGAAAGACCAAACAAAATAAGTTATTAAGATGGGATAGGGGGTTGAGGTCACACAGTAAACCCTTTCCATTTAGCCAGCGAATTGTTGAGCCATGAAGCATCCCTCGCTTTACTGGCAGCCTGAGATCTGGCCACACCACAGGGAGCAGAGGTTACACTACATTTGTGGTCAGCGCGGGGGCCATCTGTGTGTCAGCATGAATTAGTGTGTGTGGGGGTGTGTGTGTGCTCCGAACGGATACATCAACAACAGTATGCTTCTAACTGTCTCAGGAGAGTTGCAGGGTGCGTTGGGAGGTATTTCAGTCAATCTGAGACATACATCATCACAACATACGACTTTTAATCAGGAGTTGAGTTTAAAGAATTTAGGATTTCAACATAAAAACTGTTTAAATGTTAAAGATCACAAAACGTATCTCAACAAAATGGCTTTTCTGTACAGAAAGTCTCGAAAGCTTCGCTTCAGTGTTTCGCTCGCACGGTGAAAATTCATTGTGTTGATTCTAACATCCAGTGTTTTTCAAATTATAAAATCATTTTTATTTTGGGTGTAGAGGAGAAGGTAGAACAAACTAAATCAGGTGTAGCCTAAAAATATAGATATGTTGGGATCCCTGCTTGTCCCAGTATTTCCTTCGACCCTTACCCTTTGTTTCCTCCAGGTGGAGCTGTGGGCAGGACAAACCTCTGCATTTCCTGCTTGCAAATTATATCCTGTTGTAGCCATGTCATCTTATCTGATGCCTGGCTGTACTGCCGCCTCTGTGGTTAGTGGTCACAGTCTATTACTTTTGTATTCTCGTACTGAAAACACTAAGATTGTGTTACTTGCACTGGTGTTCTCCTAATCAGTGTCTCCACTAGTTAAAGGGAGCTGGACTGTTCGCCTGTTCTCCTATCTCTTGTGCTCGTGTTCTCTAAAAACTCGGATCCCCTTCGTGTTTATTGTTTCAAGATGCTGATCAAATCCTGGAGATAAAAAAAAAACAAGCAAAAAACTGACCGGCCACTTACCTACCTGCCCACTCTCCATCACTGCTTCTTTTTTTTTTTTTTCTTTCCACAAACACCTCCTTTCTCCGTGTGACACTAGGGGTCTGGGATGGGGGGGGGGGGGGGGGGGGTGTGAGGCGTTGGGGGGGAGGGGGTTGTGGGTGGGCTTTGGGCCTTGGGGGCAGTCAGTGATGGGGCCGGTGCTTCGGTTCTTCATGGGCTGTTTCGATTATTTTAATCTAGGTTCCTGGTTGCGATGGCCGGCACTTTGACCAGGGTGGCTGCCGGCTTTCGGCTGGGGGTCGGCTATGGTAGTGTACGTTT